TTTTTTTTAAATTTATTTATTTATATATTAAAGATTTCTGTCTCTTCCCCGCCACCGCCTCCCATTTCCCTCCTCCTCCCCCAATTAAGTCCCCCTCCCTCATCAGCCCAAAGAACAATCAGGGTTCCCTGCCCTGTGGGAAGTCCAAGGACTACCCACCTCCATCCAGGTCTAGTAAGGTGAGCATCCAAACTGCCTAGGCTCCCACAAAGCCAGTACGTACAGTAGGATCAAAAACCCATTGCCATTGTTCTTGAGGTCTCAGTAGTCCTCATTGTCTGCTATGTTCAGCGAGTCCGGTTTTATCCTAGGCTTTTTCAGACCCAGGCCAGCTGGCCTTGGTGAGTTCCCGATAGAACATCCCCATTGTCTCAGTGTGTGGGTGCCCCCCTCGCGGTCCTAGTTCCTTGCTCGTGCTCTCTCTCCTTCTGCTCCTGATTTGGACCTTGAGATTTCTGTCCGGTGCTCCAATATGGGTCTCTGATTCTAGAGAAGCTAAATAAGAAGGAGAACCCAAAGAAAAACATATAGGCATCCTCCTGAATATTAACCTTCATCAGGCAATGAAAGGAGACAGAGACAGAGACCCACAGAGGCTGGGGAGGCATCCAGCAGTGTAAGTTCCTGGCCAGCCGTGAACCTTTGCACAAGTCTGAAGCTTCGTAAGCCTCGGAGAGCAAGGCAATTCTCAGTGTAAGTCTGCAAAAGGCTTCAAAAGAAAACAGAGGGAAACCGGATCTAACCTGCTGTTGCGGGAGGTCCTTCTGCCCCTCCAACCAATAGCTGCTGAGATACCAGCCCATTGGGACGTGGTCTCTCTCCCTTTAAAAACGTGGCTACTTCCTCCGCGTTCTCTCTCTCTCTCTTCACTTCCTGCTCCATTGTCAACTAGACTCCCTGGTTGCGCAGAGGGCTGTTGTCTGGGATGGTGATCTGTAAGTTTTTCCCTCTTTAAATAAATACCACCCTATTAATCATAATTCCAAACTGGTGTGGCATTGTTTGTGACTTACGCCTTCAACCTGCCATCCTTCTTCTAGGCTTCCTCTGGGCAGGCTGGAAAAAGGTGATTTCAGGGAAGCCCAGAGAAGGCAGCAGGTTTTGGGGGGGGGGGAGGCTTAGGAAGCATCTTAGCGGATGAATGAGAGATAATTTTAGAAGAAAGTTTGATAATGGGACAGGCCCAAGCTGTCACCGAGAGGTGTCAAGCTTCCTTAATCTGCTGGAATTTAGGGAAGTTTTACAAAATCATGGGGATGTACGGATTGGCGCTGATTGGTGTTGATGAAGCCTCAGAACGAGCATTGCAGTAAAGCAATGCATGCTGGTTAAGTGCTGAGGAAGACTGGTGTGAGAATGGAGGGCATGAGACTTTGGGACTTGTGGGTTTACAGACTTCCATTATGGAACTACTCCTGCTAGGGCTGACTTCCAGCTACCCAAGTGATGTCACTGGATGCAGCCTCAGGAAGAGACCTGCAGACTGCGTGTTTCCCAGTTCCATCATGACTGGCACAAATAATCCAACCTTAGTTGCTCCCTGGCTTTGATGTGAGGCAAGCTGGGGCAGGGAGGCCCTGATCTGGTTGCCTGTTGTCAGATAGGAGTTGACAGCCTGCTTCAAGATGGCAGGTCAGGCTGTTTTTTTGGTTGCTATGACTTGGGCTGGGGGTAGGAAAGTCACCTACAGGTCACTGCCTCTTGAAGGATGTTATTTAAAATTCTCTTTTAACATGAATCCCAGGGAATCAAATGCAGCAGAGAAATTCCAGTAAGCCCAGAGGATTCTGAACAAAACACCGTGCTAGAGACAAAGTATCACTGGACTTCAGGGGAAAGTGCCCATGGCTTGAACTGACTCTTTTTAATGATGTGTGAGCTGACCTCGGGTAACTGGATCAACAGGGGTCAAGGGGTCATCCATCTTGTGACTGGTGAAGATTACTGGAAAAAGGAGGCGATGCTGCCTCCTTTGGCACTCTGTGAACACTCCATATGTCTTGCATTTTAAAAGACTAGACCCGAATTAAAATCCTAGGCCTGAAAGTATAATTCCACTCTTCAGTCTCGCTGGTTCAGTGAGAAAGCCCCTCCCTTACCAGACACCTTTGCTTTGAGGGTAGGGTTGCAATGGTTTGGCTTTAGGAGTGCTGAAGGAATAGCCTCTCCACCTTCCAGATAATATGGAAAAGTGAGGTCACATGGTCTCTCCAAGAGACAGCCCTACTTCTGAGTGTCTTTGATTGATCAGGGTTCTGTATAGACTGAATAAACAAATGGTCACACCCCAATATGCAGCATCTATCTCCTAAATGAACTAAAGCAAGAGGGGGGATTTGCTGTTTAATGGCTTATCCCTATTAGCTTCCCTCTCCTCAAGACACTCACTTCATATGGAATGTGGTAACAGGAGGAGTTAGGACAAACTCAGGAGGTAGTGGGAGCCGCGAGAAGCTTTGGACCAGGGGCTTCAAGCTATGCCATTAGTAGGCAGCGTGGGGAAGGTGGACTGGGAAGATGGGATGCAGGTAGCAACGGTCCATGGAGATGGAGCTGGACATGGCAGGAAGGGAAGAGGGCAGATGAACGGCGAGTGCGTGCGTGCATGCGTGTGCGTGCGAGTGTGTGTGTGTACCTGTGTCTGAAGGGCAGATGATGACCTTGAATGTTGTTCTTCAGACAGACCCTGCACTCACTGAGTAGGCTAGACTGGCTAACCAGGGATGCCCCGGAGCCTTCCCGTCTCTGCTTCTCATCACTGGAGTTTTAAGAGGCACCGTAACACCCACCTGTCCCAAAAACTGGGTTCTGGGGATTGAACACAGGGCCTCATTCTTACAAAGCAGACAGTTCACTGACTGAGCCATCTCTGGAGCCCTTGAAGGCTCCTTGATGCCCGCATCTGAAGCTTGGCTAGTGTACTGGGGACACCAAGGGTGCTATTTTCCACGGGTGAAGCTGAATTCCCAAGTGGAGAGAGCTGAGTGCTGCTGGGCCCTACAGACGAGGTCACACAGCTGTTTTTCTGTCAGCTTGCTAATCAGTGTTCAGTGCAGAGGCCGAACTCTGAGGGCAACTTTCATCAGACTCCAAAAGCGGGGGGACGGGGAGTGGGGAGGTGAGGAGGTGGGAGGGTGTCGGGCCCCACTTGAGTCTCAGGGTTGGAGGCCATTTACAGGGAGTAAACCAAATTGGTTTGTGTGTGTTTGCAACTGGTACCTACGAGGTGATATTATTGTTGTTATTACTGAAAATTTTATTGCATTTATTTATTTGGTGGTGGTAGTGGGGTGTTTGTGTGTGTGTGTGTGTGTGTGTGTGTGTGTGTGTGTTTGGGCCTACACATGCCAAGCTGTCTGATGTCAGCACCTGACAACTGGCAGATATTGGGTATTTTTTTTTCTTCCTTGTGGCTTCTAGGGGGATTGAACTCAGGCTGCCAGTCTTGGCAGCAAGCACCTTTACCGGTTGGTGAATATTTATTTAGCAAATTATCCTTTAGACTTATTCATGACACACACACACACACATATATATACATATATATATGAGTATTTTGCCTTCATTTTTGTTTGCACACTGTGTGTGTGTGGTGCCCACACAGGTCAGAAGGTTGCATTGGATTCCCGGGGAGTGGAGTTACAGATAGTTGTGAGCCACCGTGATGGTGCTGGGACCCAAACCCTGGGTCCTCTGTGAAAACAATGCTTTTCACTGCTGAGCCATCTCTCTAGATTCCCCAGGTAGGTATTATTAATGTCTTCACAGATGAGGACATCAGTGCTCAGAGAAGAGCTGCAGAGTCAGGAAATACTGACTCCAAGATTGAAAAGGCCACCTTTACCTGTTCTGCTAAATCCAACCTGCTCTTGCTCCTTCTTCACCATGAAAATTTAGGAACTAGCTGAGAAGGAGTAGAAGTCCTATACATAGCCTGTGCTATTTAAAATAGATGCTGTCAAAGGTCTGTATTTTTAGAATTCATTGCCAAAGGCAGGCAAAGCTATGTGTAGGTCTGGCCCCGCCCTCTGGCTTTGGCTCATCTCCTCTAGCTCCAGGGCATCTGAAATAGTTTCCACATAGGTGCCTTTCCCTTTGTCTCATTGTGATTTTACTTTATGGAAAAAGATAAACGCCTTGTGTGACTTCTGTAAAGTTGGGATTCACCTGCCTAGTGCTTTTTCTTTTTATATGTTCTGATTCCCAAAATGGTAGGTGAATGAAACCATTTTGATAGACACCTCCCCACAGACAACCACTCTGCCTGATAAAAATCTCAACGTTTAGCTGGTCTAAGCTAGTCATAGACACTCCCCACCCCTGCCCCACACCCCACTTTCTTTCTGGGGGGGGGTGATTTTATGAGGGAGCATATAACAAAGATCTGGCCAACAATGTGGAGTGTGGAACTCTGACAATGGGTGGTGTGTACTATAAAGAAAAACCCCTTTGCCCCCGCTGCTTTCCTTCTCTTTAGAGTGTGAGGGCGGCAGAACAGAAAGATGGAAAAGTCCGAAGTCTTGGGTGAACAGTGGGAAGTGTTGAGGTGGTTAATCAAAATCCCATGACTAACCTCTAGTTCAGCTGTTGTTTGAGGCGAATGATGTAACCTACTTTCTGTTAGATATTCTGATACTTGTGGCTCAATGTATTCTTAGCAAGCAATTATTAATTTGTGAAAAACAAGTCAAGGGAGAATGACTAACTCTCTGAAAGAAGAGTTGACTCGGAGGTTCAGGGAAAGCGTGTCTTGACACCTGGATCCATCCTTTGGTTATTAATCAATGGTATGCCAATAATTGCAGCAAGCTACCATTTATCACATTGAAGAGTTTTCTTATCTTAATAAGGAGCATTTTGGTTGCAAGTGATTAAACCCAGAAAATGACACTGGTGTGAAAGGTGGGAAATTTAAATTTCAGTTAAAACTGGACCCAGGGCTTGGATGATGTCATGGAGTCTTGGTCCTTCTCTATCACGTTCTTCTCCTCTTCTTTGAGTTGACAGTGGGTCCAAGTTCCAAGCAGCAGCCACAAGGCTGCTGGACCTGCTACAGCATCTGCGGTGAGCTCCTCATTTTCATGATTGCTGTGGCCGGGACCAGCTGTGAGCACTGGAGACGACAGAACCTCGTCCAGGCACCAGCCGCTCAGTACAGGAGAGCCATCTCGGCGGAAGGTCTGCAGACTGGGAATGCTGCCTCCCCAGAGGAAAACAAAGGCTGTGTCTGCAAGGACATCGAGTCTGGAGCTGGAAAACCTGGAGCTGTTGGCCCCTCCACTCTGGTTTCTTTAAAAAAAGGCTGAGCTTTCTGGAATCGACTGGATGAAGTAAAGAGTAATTGTTCCTATCTTTAGTAACACTTCTTTTCTGGAATATTGCAACCTCTTCTTAACAAATACCATCCTTTTTATACTATGTCAGCTGTTTTTGGAGTGTGTGTGTGTGTGTGGAGAGAAGAGAAGAGAAGAGAAGAGAAGAGAAGAGAAGAGAAGAGAAGAGAAGAGAAGAGAAGAGAAGAGAGCTGAATTGCCATGCAAATCTAGACCTAGCTCTTCCAAGGAGGCTTGCAAATTTAGTAAATAAGAATACAGGTGGAGGGCTGGGATGTGGCTAAGTCTGAAAACCCTGGGTTTGATCCCCAGCATCCCAGAAACTGGGCGCAAGGTGCCTGTCTGTAATTACAGCATTCAGGAGGTGGATCCGAAATTCAAGGTCACCCTCAGCTAAATAGCAAGTTTTGAGACCAGCTTGGGCTGCATGAATCCCCAATTTAAAACTAACAAACAAAAGCTGTTAAATTTGAATTTCAGACAAACAACAAACAACTTTTTTTTTTTTGAAGCACAAATGTTCCAAGAATCATTTGGGATTTATTTATGTTTACAAATATTTGCTGTGTAGTCTATGGAGTTCAGCTTGAGTAGGTGCCTCGTATTTCCGCTTGCTAAACCTTCTCCCAGGCTCGCACTCTCTCTTCTGTCCATAGGATCGATTTATTCTGCCTGCTCTTCATCTGGGAAAGGCTGTGTCTAAGAGATGGGAGTCGGTGGACACAGAGGGGGAGGAATGTGTAGAATATGCAGACTTAAAAATTATCAAATAGGTTAAAAGTCCTTTGAAAAGCCAGGCATTGGTGGCACGTGCCATTTAATCCCAGCAGTCAGGAGGCAGAGGCAGGCAGATCCCTGTGAGTTTGAGGACAAGGCTACACAGAGAGACCCTGTCTCAATTCCCAGGAAACACCATGAGTGCTTTTGTCTGCTGACAGATAAGCAGGAGGTTCTCCAGTTTCCCCCATGGGTCGGGAGGCAAGGGAGCACATTCTTTGACAACTGGGGTTATTTTGTTTTTATTTCTAATTCACTCTATTTCAGGAGCTTTAAAATCTTTAGAGCCTACATCAGGGCAAGGAGGGCATTTGTTTATGCAACCATGATGTAAAGATGCATTGCCTTGCCTGCCTAAGGCACCTGATTGGTCGAATAAAAAGCTGAATGGCCAATTGCTAGGAAGTAGAAGGATAGGTGGGGCTGGAGGGCAGAGAGAATAAGAGTCTAGGCTTAAGAGAGATGGGAAAAGAAAAGGAAATACCCAGGGCCAGGCAGCTGCCAGCCAGACATGGAATAGGATGTACAGAATAAAAGAAAGGTAAAAAGCCCCAAGGCAAAATGTAGATAAGAAACAGGTTAATTTAAGTTATAAAGAGCTAGCAAGAAATGAGAGAAGGCTGAACTTTCATTACTAATAACAAATCTCCATGCCATGATTTAGGAGTTGGTGGGTGGCCCACAGAATTCCTGTTACAGTAGGTCTTTGTAGTTGAAAAGTGATGTGTTCCTCATCAACAGGAGCTCTGCTGAGATGTGGGGGGCAGCGCTGTTCCCAGGAGCAGGATGGGGCTGCCTGGCCGGAACTGGTGGTATCTATGGGGCTCTGGCCTTGGTGTGGGTGCGCTTTGTCAGTCTGTCTGTCAGTCCGTCCTGGCTATGTTCCCTGTTTCACATCTTTTCCTTTGCAACTGTTCTTGACTGGAGGAGAAAAGCAAGGACCTTTGATTTGTGCCCTTAGCTGTGTCAACTGAGTTACACTCTGAGCTCCTCCCAGTGCCTCTCCCGGCTAAAAAGTCCTCTTTAGTCATGTCCAGGGCCACGTCCATCCAAGGCCGTTGTGAGGATGAAACCCCAGTGCCCTTACTGCCTGCGTTCCTGTCCTTGCCTTCAGAACAAACTGTTGCTGGCTTGGTTTGGCTTCAGACATTCAAAATGTCTAAAATGTCACCCAGTCTAAAAGCTCAGAAATCTGAAATCAAGGCATTGGTTGAGCCACGATCCCTCTAAAGGCTAAAGGGAAAATCTCTTCCAGCCCTTAAGCACCTGGCACTTTGTGGCATGTGCCAATATGCCTCCCTCTATCACCCGTGACTCCTCTCTTTGTGTTTTTTTTTCCCCATCTCTTCAGACCTAGGGGCCAGTCTATCCTAGGGTGGTCACATCTCCACCTCTACAACTATTAAACCCAAGGACCCTGTCTCTACAAGGTCCTCTTCTGAGGCCCTCCTGGACATTAGTGGGGTAAAGGGACACAACATTCAATCCACCGTGCAGCTCTGACGGACTGAAGGATAATGATGGCCCCTGTTCCCTTTTGCTAACCAGGTACATGGGAAATTCGCAGGGCTCTTATGTAACATTCGCAATCCCCTCTAAAGAATAGGCTATTTATGTAAGGCCACAGAAAATGTCTCGTAGGGTCACTTGCCAGGTGGTTTGTGCCAGGTGGTTTGTGCCAGCTGCCAGGAGTCAAGGGCTAGGTGACAGTCAACTCAGCTCCTTGGGAGCCCTTCTTTAGAGGAGGAGAGCGGCTCGTAAACAAGGAATTACAATACGTCCATTTAGCAGACTGGTGAGAGCCCAAGGCTCCATCCACAACAATGCTTTGGAGCTGTTGACTTAGCACCCGGAGAGCCAGCTCAGCCCTGGCCCTGGCAACTGTCTGCAGGCCTCTCCCTCCTGGCCCTAGCCACTCCAGCTGGCAGGTTGCACAGTCTGTGCACGGGTTAATCTCCCTCATCGCCTTTCTCTCCCTCCTAGTTTACTCTGTTTCTGGCCTTTATCTCCCTTGGAAGCATCTCAGCTGGCCTGGGCGCTGTTTAATTTTTCTTCCCTGGTGATGGATGTCTACACCCCTTTTTCAAGAGACAAAACAAATTGTTTGTTTAACCTCCCTAGGAATAAGTGGGCCAGGGGTAGCGTGGGAAGGGAAGCATGTTGACTGTTCCGTGGGCAGACCTTCCTGGGTATTTCCAAAGAGTTCTTGACTGACTCACCTTCTTTATTAGCTGAAATGTACTTTAAGAGAGTAACCCTTCCATTTCTTCCTCGTCCATCCCCTTTCTTATTGTATTGTCCCTGTGCGGACACCATCATGATCACATGTGGCCACAGCAGAGTCCCCTTGCTTCATTTTTTGTCTTTTAGATGAGCACACGGAGCGGAGCTGGCATGTGAATGATGCTGTCTGCTGACCAAGTTGTTGCTTGAATGAGGTCCCGGGTTAGCCCTGTTAGGCAATGCTGAGAACACCTGACGGTAAAACAGGAACATGGGAATGACCTGGGTGTGGGACGCCTGTTTGAGTAGGGATGTTCCGCTCCCTCTGGAGAGTCTGCATCTGTGAGCATCAGCGGTGACCTTTCCTGATTGTCCCCAGGGACCTGACATGTCCTTGGGGTGGAATGTCAGTTCCCAGGCTTGATCCCAGGTGGAACAAGTCAATCACTAAAATCAAGATCTCTGGGAAGAGGTATCCATCTTGGCCTTGGCTTTGAAGGTGCCCCCACATGAGTCCAGTCTACACTCAAGGCCAAGGCCCCTTCACACGCCCCTACAGTAACCAGAAGACTGGAGAGGAGCAGGGGGTGGGCCTACCCTTGGTCTCAGGTTCTGCAGGGACTGATGGCGGATGTCTCCAGCTTCTAGGGGATGTTGCTGCTGCTTCCTGCCAAGACTACTGTTTTGGAGGCGCAGTTCTGAAGCTAAGTTGTCCCCATCTGCCATTCTCATTGACTTCAGGTACTGTTGACCCTACTGTCCTCTCCTCTCCTCTCATCCCGGGCCTTCCTCTGAAATACAGGAAAATCAGCGTTTGTTTTAATCCACTGGTCCAGGGTGTGTGCTGAACTGAGCCTCTTGCTGTTGCTGGCTTCAGAATGAAGGTGATGTATAGATAGCTTCCCCTGAGGCAGATAGACCCATTTCCTATCTCAGCCTGCTTTTGTTTTTCTTTCTTAGATCATCAATCTGGGTACAGTTACAGTGAGTTTTCATAAAGCCAAGCTTGCCTCTCTCATAATTTCCTCTCCTAGAGATGGCTATGTGGGGTTATCCATGGCACCCAGGTTTAGTACAGACATTTCCTAACACAGCTCCCTGGAAGGGGATAGATGACCTTCAGTGCTGAAGGCTGAGCACACAGGTGGCAGTGTCCAGGTGGACAGGCTAGGTGCCCCAAGGCATTGATTGCTTTGTTTGGAGCAGTTATGGGGAGTGACTTATGGGAACCAGGTGAGAGATAGCCATAGGATAGGTAGGCTTTTGGCCCACAGGGTAGGTAGGTAGGCTCCATGGTCTACAAGGTAGGTAGGTAGGTTCCACAGTCCACAGACCACAGAGGTTTGGAAAAAATTTCTTTCTGAGAGATCTTGTTTTTCATCCTATGAAGAGCATAAGTTTTACTTTTGGTGAAATCTAATTTTTTTGTCTTGTTCTTCACGGTTGCACCTTTTGCTGTCTAAGTTTAGGAACATTTGTCTAGCCAGGCATAATGGCATTCAATGTAACCCCATTGGGAAGTAGAGGCAGGAGGATCAGGGATCCAAGGCTCTGAAAACTAGCAAGTTCAAATCTCAAAACAACAATACCCTTCAAACCAACCAAACAAACTGTTTGCTCACCTAACTCAAGGTTCAACAGTGTTTATGTTCACCCTAATTTTGGATGTTAAAATCCCATCCCTCAAGGTGGTGGTCACTTTGGGAGGCTGATAGGTTACAGGGCACAGACTTCATGGATGGGATTCATATCCCCACACAAAAACTTTAGAACAATGGTTCTCAATCTTGCTAATGCTGTGACCCTTAAATACAGTTCCTCATGTTGTGGTGAGCCCCAGTCATAAAAATATTTTGTTGCTACTTCATCATTGTAATTTTGCTACTGTTATGAATTATAATGTAAATATCAAATGTTCTGTCCTCTGGGGGTCAGGACCCAAAGGTTGAGAACCACCGTCCTAGCAGTTTATCCTCCCTCCCCTTCCTGCTCTGAGGTCATAGTGAAGAGATGGCTCTCTGAGGAGTGAGCTGTCTTCAGACACAGAATCTGCTAGTGCCTGATCTCGGACTTGCTCACCTCCAGAACCGAGAGACATAAGCTTCTATTGTTCTTATGCTGCTCTGCCCACCAATTTGTTCTCTATCTCTATAAGTTTCTCATTTCAATAATGTCTTAGAAACGAGCATATATATATACACATATATATATAAAATATTCCATGAAATGGACATACCACAGTTTAACAATTCACACACTAGATAATGTGCCGATTTTTATATATGTTTTCGCTTTTCTGGGATGCATGCCTGAGGCAGCAAGTGTTAGCCACATGAGAGTTGCGTGTTTCATTTTATAAAGCCAAGAACTGTCTTCCTGGGTGACTCTTCCCTTTTCCATATCTATTGGGAGTGTGTGAATGGTCTGGTTTCTTGGATTCTTGCTTTCATGTGGTGCTTTCATGGTTTTAAAATCACAGCCGTTCTGGTAGGTGCATAGTGATGTCTTGCTTTGGTTTGATATGTTGTAGGCCTAGTGTACCGCAGGATGCTTTCTGAGGAGCTGGATCTTCTCCTTTTCAGGGCATTGTTCCATTTTCCTCAGTTGTCAACTCTAGGGTCATGAAGCGATTGTTTCCCATATTTTCTCTGCAATGGCTCTGCCACATTATCTTTTAGCTCCATTTTGATGTGTATTTTAATTTTTCTTATTTTTTTAAAGAGCTAACTCAATGGTGCAGCATTTGTCTGAGAATTAGAAGGTCCTGGGTCTTGGGTTCAAATCCCAGCATAGAGACAGTAACAAAAAATTGGCTTTCTGTTTCTGTGGCTTTTTATAGTTTTCCCAGGGTAGATCATTTTGATTTCTGTGCTTTTATTGCCTTTCTTCTGCTTGAGTTGGGCTTGCTTTGTTTGAGTTATGCACAAGACCTCAAGCTGTACCAGGGAGCTTGGAGGTTGGGGATGGGACCGTCCACCAAGAGTCAAGGATCTTGTTTGTGTTATTAGTGTTGTTGCAGACAGGGTCTTACTATATAGCCCAGGCTGGCCTGGAACTCAAAAGAGATCTACTTGCCTCTTCCTCCAGAGTGCTGGGATTAAAGATGTGCACCACCATACCTTGTTTTGTTTTGTTGAGACAGGATCTTGCAGCCTATAACCCAGGCTTGCTTTGAAAGAGCGACTCCTCTGGCTCAGCGTCTCCCATGTTGTGGTTACAGATGCCAGTTACCTTCTAAGAGGATCCAAATAAAACGGCAGCCATGTGTTTAAGCCTGTAGCATCTGTTCATGAATTCCCAGATGCATGTGGTGTCCACTGCCATTCACCTGGAGGACATCATTTAACCTCACCTGTGCATAGCGTAGGCGAGGGATTTTGTGTTACCTTCATTTTGTTTCTAGTAAATTCTATTTCAGATGAGTCTAAGTCTGAAAATCACCAAGTTAATAGAAAGGGCGTTCAATTTCCCAGCAGCTTTCAAACAAAGAACCAGTATTGATTCTGGTGATTAGGTCTAAACTTTATTGGCATTTCCTTTATTTGCTCTAGACTAATACCTTTTCTGGGCTCTAGAAATCTGTCCAGGATAGCACTGTGGAGGCTCCACCTGGCAGAGACAGACAGATCATCAAGGACAACTCAGATCTGATAAAGTTTTGAGAAATGCTCATTTTGTAGGATGCCCTGAAATACAGTGCTTTTTAATATATAATTTATTTACTTTTATTTCCATGCATTCACTTTTTTCCTGCATGTATGCCTGTGTGAGGGTGTCAGCTCCCCTGGAACTGGAGTTACAGACAGTTATGAGCTGCCATGTGGGTGCTGGGAATTGAACCCCAGTCCTTTGGAAGAGCAGCCCGTGCTTTTAGCTGCTGAGCCATCTCTCCAGTCCCTTGGTACTTTCTCATCCACCCTTTCTGATGTTTTTCTCATGATTAGACTAGAATTGGGGAGTTTAGGAGGAACTCTAAAGCTCTTAGAGGTTAAGTGTCGTTGCCACCCCGTCACGTCTAGGTCAGGTCCCATCCCCGTGAATTGTCACTGTTGGTGCAGCCTCGGTACTTGCCTGAGCTTGTGCTTGCCAGGTTTGTCCTCTTTGCTCTCTTCCACACTTTACTGTAGAAGGAAGTCACTCCATGCCCCCACACTCAGGAGGAAGAGTAGACCTGCGTTTCCCTGACAATGCGGTCGCTATAGAATCATTCAGGAACTGCCTGATGGAGAATTTGTCTTTCACGTGTTTACCTGAACATTGTTTACATCAGGATGGCTTCATGTGTATTTTCCCACACTTTAAGTTAAAATCCCACCTGTGCTATTTATTTTGTTACTAGCTTCATTGTGAAAGTTGTCCTCCCCCCCCCCCCCAGGTATTGAATTCAGTACTAACAGGTGTTTTGTAAGAACACTTGCCCTTGTAAGGACATTGTTTCACCGTCTCCTTGACTGTGTTGCTGCCAGATCCAAGGCTGGTGGCGTTCTTAGTTCTTTTTTTTAATTCTTCTGTGCCGGACACATCCAGTTCTCTGGCTGCTCTTATGGCTTCTTCTTTATCAATCACCTTTATGGATTTGCATTTGATGTGTCTCGTTGCAGCTTTCTGCATCTTTCTTCCCCTTGGGTGTTGCTGAGTTCCTTGAATTACTGGTCTGTAGTTTTTGTTGTTAATACACTTCTGTTGGTACTTCTTCAAGAGCCCTTCTGCCGCCTGTGTCTTCTCCTTTGGGAGTTGATGCGGGATTGTCCCTCCAGGTCCTAACGTGTTGCTGTCTTGTTTGCTTGGCCACTTTGACGGCATATTTTATTTTGGACAGCTCCCCACCCCTTCACCTTCAAGCTTACCTATTTTCATCTCCCTGTCTATTTGGCCAGGAGTCCCATCTAGCAGATTTTGATCTGTAGATGGAACTTCATTTAACTATATTTCCTATGTTCCGAAAGTTGTACTAACCAGGCGAATGAGATGACTCAGTGGGTAAAGGTGCTTGCTGGCAAGCCTGATGACCTGAGTTTTAACCCTGGGACCCATGTGACGTCCTCTGACCTCCATGCATGCGCCGTGGAGCCTTCCCATGCATGCATGTACCATATACACCTGCGCACAACTGAAATAAATCAATAAAAGTGAAATAAAATTAAAAAAATTCGAAGTACGCACTTAATGTCTTCTCTGCTAAATTTAGCGTGTGAGTCAGCTGGGGGTGAGTTCCCATTGGCTGACTATTCTTCGCACTGTGGACTCTGTCTTCTTTG